CCACATAGCATACCATAATTATTCTTTAGTCTAATATGAGCACATCTGTTTGACAGCTAAAAGTCACTGTGTCAGTTCAGAGCTTCATAACCCAAAGTGTACTGCAAAAGCAACCCAAGACTTTCTGCAGGCAAAGAAATGTTCTTCAGTGGACAAGTGGGTCAAACTAATGAAGAATAATGTTGAGTTACTGAAGACAAGATTGAAAGGAGAGATCCACAAACAAGCAGCAGCTGGAGATTGTTTTGGTAGTTGACTAATCTGCTCATTTTTCTTTCATTATTCGATTAGTCAACAAATATTTCAGTAACTCTGATCTCCGCCTCTGTGGGCCATCCTCCAGTTCTTCACCTGTTGTCTCAAAATAATGACGCAGGAAATGTATTAATTTGAAAATAATCAAATGTATTTAATATTTACTCAATAGGTCTATCAGAATGAATCAAAATATTAGGTGATACAAAATATGATTACAGAGTAGCAGCAGCTGCCCCTCCAGCCCGCTGCACCACCCCTCCACTGCAGCGGAGCCAGAGACCACGCCCCCCGCCACGCCCCCGCCATGAAATGTTTTCAAAATCTGGCAAAAACTTGTTTCAAAGCAAAAATATATATTTGCAGTCTGAGTGTGTGTATGTTAGTCAGCTGACAAACTGAATAAAAGTTTGTACATCCAAAGCTGCATGCTCGCTCCACTGATGGTGGATGTAAACGTTCACATCCCTGCACTGAAATTAAGTTCTTTAGGAAATTCAAGTAAACAAGTATTATTTGGCATGTTAATCAAAAATAATGTGGTTTACTATTTTTCTGCTGCTTTTTTCGTAAATCAGGAAGTTTGAAGTTTTAGCAATAACAATAATAATATTTCAGCATTAAAAATATTGTAATTCTAGAACTGAACTTGTGCTTGCTGGTGTAAACTATTTTAGTAATTACCCATACTGGGATTTTAGGGCAGCTGTGGCATAAATCAAAGTAAATGCACTGTCACAACAAAGCTGGTGCAAAAAGACCAAAGAAGCGTGCACGCCGTTGGTTCGCCCACAGTGACAGTCTCACTGGAACATGGGAGCCTTCTGTAATAAACTGGGTTTAATCTGCAAATCACATTAAAAGCTGATTGTCCAGCACTACCAACGTGACCGTATCATGTCCCTGTGTGTAACTGCAGGTCATTGCTCAGGACCGGGAAGCTCTGCTCAGTCAGTCCAACTGGGGGAAGATGGTACAGAAGGTGTCCCAGTTTGGTATCAGAACTGGAACCTTCAACTGCTCCAATGACTACAGGTGATATGCTGTTACTCCACAGAAAGAGACACTACGGAAGCTGAACAACAGTTACACAATCTGACAGTCACACTAGGAAAAAACATGGTGGAAGGCTGCACCTCGACCCTGCGCAGTGATCCTGCAGCCTTTGAAGTGGTTGCTTTGAAGATGGGGACCAAGTCTGTGGCTTCCAGCCAGTGACCATCTTCAAAGCAACTACCATGTGACAATATGGCGATAAGACACGGTGTTGAAAATCACAGATGAGTTTGAATGTCAGTGACCTCAAGGTCAGAGGTCAG